CAGGGTTTCACAAACTCGACTGGTAGTTACCATGCCATCGGACTCCACTAGCTTTGGATGATGATGAAAATATAGTCTATTTATAAAACGGAGAGTTCCGGTCCTTGATTCTGATTGGCTGAGCCACGGTCAAATCTCTTGTAAGTTACTCTACAAACACACACCTTTGTTTACGTTTGTGTGTTGCTCGGCAACCACTTTGTTGCAACCACAACTGTTTCTGAGGAGCTACATTGTTTGGTGGAAGAATACTGTTTTTATTAATATCATTACACTTTATTTGCTCTGTTTTATTTTGTGAAACCTTACTACGTGTATGGAATAACCGTTTTATACCCCCATGAAGCCATGGTTTACAGTGAATTTATAACAGCTAAGGGGGTTTTACGCACGACGCGAACAATGCCGCTATCTGTTATAAATTCACTGTAAACCATGGCTTCATGGGGGTTATTGCTTTAATAACAGACGGATGGAAAATATTGATTTTTGATGTCATTATTTTCTTTACTATACAAGGACGTGCAACGATGAATCAACCAGGAACATGAATTTGTTTTGATTTCAAGATATGATGATGAACAAAACCGGAGGATAAATTTCATGAAGCAAAACCTTTAAGTTTGAGTTTTCCCTTAAACTACACTCTTAAAAATAAAGGTTCCAAAGGTTGTGCAATAGAGAAACCATTTTTGCTTCCTCAAAGAAGCTTTCAGTGAACAAATTTTAAATTCTGGCTGTGAAGAACATATTAATGATCTAAAGAAGCTTTTTACGCTGTAAAGAACCTGTAGTGCTTCCGTGGATGTTAAAGGTTCTTCATGGAGCCATCAATGCGAATGAAGATCCTTTATTTTAAAGAGTGTACATTCATAATCAGCAGAAGCTGCACAGCTTTCATGGTAGTCATTTTAGACGGAAAACCAGGTTTAATGGTCAAAACATTGAGCAAAGACCTGCAGGAACTCTGAGAGAGAATAATAAACAGATCCATTTAACAGAATGTTATTCACCCCTGTATGAAGTACCTTTATATATATGATGAAATCAAAGACATAGCTTATCTATTTACTCTGAAATAAAGCTTGAAGAGACACAAAGACAGATATATGGGTGCATCTTTCTTTATTTTTGGACACCGATCACTCTGTGAATCAGAGATATACAGATAGTTCTGTGAATAAAGCATTGCTCGATGATGTGTAGAGTATACATGGTGGGGGGAGTGTGTGTAAATAATGTATCACAAATAAATAATTAAATCTAACCTGCCTGACCCGCTGTTATTATCCAATGATTGACGATGCTGCTTTAAGAAAGAAGACTCAAGACTGCAACGAAGCTCCTTACATTCACTTCACATGATACTGACACTGTACTTATTATGTAAATCCATAAATTGTTGTGCATTTTGTTTACATGATGAGTTTGTTTTCTTGATCACTGGAGTTAAACAAACAAAAAATGCCTTATTTACCAGCACTTCTAAATATGATATGATCAATAACTCTTAGGTTTTTCCGTTACTTTATATCTCATCAAATTAATTTAATTTTTTAAGTTATATGAGATTCGACCTGAGTCAGTTTAATATTAAAGCTGAAATGAATTGAATATACCTGAAATTCAAGCCAGCAACTGAACTTATGCGTTTAATATGTGGAATATGTGGAAATTTTTGACAGTGTAATTGCTGATTGTTAATTATTGGATGTGTTTTTGTGCTGTGTATTATATTCTAATCAATGCAGATTCTTCCGGTTAGATTATTTTGGTATAAAATAATTCCAGTAGTAAAACTAAAGATGAATAGTGTTCGTTGGGATAATTAGGATCTCTCCTTATAATGTTAAACTTATCGTACTTGTGTAGAATGATATTACTATGAATGCATACAGTGTGTAAATAAATGCAATTACACTGGAAACAATAACTTAGGATTTACTTTCAAATTCTAATTATTTTCTCACTGAAATTGCTAAATTTCACAAATAGGAACTGACAAATAACACCTAATTAAATGTGCAATTTTGAAGTACAAAAACTGAAATTTTATTTTCCTGAAAAGCAGTTTTATTTACAACTTCATTTTTTTTTAATGCCACCATAAATGATGATGAAATGCATTACTGTAATTCCCAAAAGGCAACATTAGTCTCTTCAGTTTACTGTAGAATTCTTTCTTAATTGTTGAGGTGACATTTCAGTCAGTGTCAGCAGCAAATATTGTATAATTATTAGATCATAAACTCTAGGTTTGGTGAACTAAAATCATAATGTTGAATAAACAAAAGAAGATGGAGATGTTGTGTGTAAACTGACTCTGCTCTGTAAGTTATATAAAATACAGATGTATTAGAAATGGGTTGAAATGTTGAATACAGCAATCTGAGGAGCACTTCAGTGCATATAGGCAACTAAAACCAAAACTAAAACTTTAAAATAATTTTAATTACGTGATATAAAATCAACATTGACTGAAATAAAATTATATATATATACTGTACATACATATGTATATTGCAACTTGCTTTTTTCATTTTTTTCAGCTAGTTGACAAGGCAAAATTTCTCATTTTTTTTATTTAGTTTAACTTGATGTACTAAAATAACTAAAACTGATATAAAATTAATAAAAACTATATAGACATATTTTAAAAAAAAAACTCTAAAAGTGACAAAAACACAAACTTACTAAAATTAAATCCAAACTGAAAATAAAAATAAAATAAAAACGAATTCAGAATATAAAAAAAAATTTAAAAAAAAAACTCAAATAGTATCTAAAGACACTGATATAACTGCTTCAGTGTGTCCGCCTCACGAAACACCAGGAAAAGAAAAGAAAATAAATCCTAAAATAATGCAATCAACTCTAAATAGCATTAAATGACAGATAAAATTAGATGTAAACCACTTCAGTTCCCATGTTGTGCGTTAGTCATGACGTCAGTTTGTAGGCCAGCGACTGCGCAGCTGCAGCGTCTCTGACAGGACTACATTTCCCATGAGCGCTCGCGCTTACCGTCAATCCGCCGCTGTCATTTAGGCGACGGACGAAAAGCGTGCGAATGCAAAAACCTGCTGGAACCGGAGAAGTTGAGTCGCTTCACGATGTTAACACTGACACTGAGACAACTGATCAGGGTGAGTTTAAACACACACAACCGCATTATAGCGCACGGTAACGCGAAAGCGAATGAATCGCACCAATACAGCGATAATATGCATCAGCGTGCATGCACAACAGAGCACGCATTCGAAGCGATTTAAAAAGAAAATGCATTGACATTTAAAAGTGTCTATGTGACGTGATTTAATAGTCCAGCAGAAGTTCACAATCTGCAACTTTTCAGTTGCATGACCATCTTTGTCAGTTTTGAATGTATGCATATAAGTTACTGAACTCTTGAGATGTCAGGCAGTGCTTGGTAAGGATGTAAACAGCAGATCTGTGTTAACTAGTCTGGTCATACTGGTTAGATGATGCAACCACTCGAGTTTCAGCATGATTCCACTCACATGCATTCGAACACATTTGCATGCAATGCTTTATTTACACACTTTCAGGCTTAAATCGGTGTCTTTACATCTGAAGACTATGAAAGCCCTCACAATTCAAACTTTTTTTTTTCAATTCAATTTCAATGTTTTACTTAGTTTCAGAATTGTGAGAAAAGAATCGAGAGATTAAAAATTCGCAGTTAGCTTTTTATGTTTTATTCCAAGATGCAAGAAAAAAAACATAATTGCAAGATGTAAACTCTTAATTCTGAGAAGAAAAATAAGTCAGAATTGTGAAATCAAAGTCTTTTGCGTCTGAATGCGTTCATCTTTTCTGCCGAGTTTGTAAGTGCAGCGTACTGCTACAGAGATCAGATGTGTTTCAGTGCAATATTTCCTAACGAACCCAATAACACTGACTCTTACAATCAGCTCATACACTGTAAAAAAAAAAATTCCGTAAAATTTACGGTAAAAAACCGGCAGGTGGTTGCCGGAATTTTACCGTAAAAAATATGGTGGCAACATTTTAGGTAATTTACCGTTAACCATTTAACAGGTTTTTACTGTAGCATTTTTACAGTCTTTTACCGTTAATTTTTTTACAGTGTAATACAAAATAAACCTGGGCATTGTTATTTTTCAGTTTTTCTTTTGCAGGCTGTTAATCAGACAATCAAAGTTGCTGTTTTGACACTTGATGGCATGTTTTTATTAAACTAACTGGAACATGATCTTTACTTAATATCCTAATGATTTTTGGCATAAAAGAAAAATCTATAATTTTGACCCATACAATGTATTGTTGGCTATTGCTACAAATATACCCCAGCGACTTAACACTGCTTTTGTGCTCCAGAGTCACAAATGTGTATTTGTTTTTTTTTACCATTTATTACAACAAAATCTGTTGAACATTGTCATATCTCTTATTATAGCATATAAACATAAATATGCATACTGTATAAACCAAATGTTGTGAAGTTTACGCTGAAAACGTGAAAATAAAGCTATTCAAACTAGTGTAAAGCGAATAAATGTAGTATTTCTCTGAAAGCTATAATATCTTTCACAGTTTTGCTTCTTGAGTAAATGTAACTTGTCTTAAGGATGTTTAGATGTAGTTCCTGCCAAACAGGACAGAAATATTGGTGTTTTTTTAATAATTCTGGCTTTTGTTTAGTTTGTTTTTCTTAACCAGGTTTTTGAAGGGTCACACTCTCATTTAGTCTGGTTTATCAGTCGTCTTTCATAAGCAGCTGTAGCCCAAATCCTCAATAATTAACCTGTTGTTGTTGTTTTACATAATATGCCAAAGCTCATGTTCTGAACAGCCAATCAGATGCGAGCTTTTGTGGCCACACCTCTCATGAAGTCTGTTTCACCTCAAAGTTGTCATTGCAATGTTCATCGAAATCAGAAGAATTCATCAGATCACAGGAAAGTCAGTTATGTGGTTTTGGATGGTGTAAAAACACGTTTGTGATCCACATCATCAGAACCGGTTCAGTTCGTGTCTGCTGGTCTGAAACTCTCTCACGCTGGTCTCAGAACAGTGGCTCGTGGGTTTTTTTGCTTGCATCAGAAATACTGTGGTGCTACCATGTTACAGTAATGCTGTCCGATGGTAATACTGTGGTATTTTGATGTCATCTGTAGGGATGTAACGATTCACTCAACTCACGATTCAATTCAAGATTTTTTTTAACAAAATGAGATTTAAGACAAATTATAATTTAAATGTGTCCTTTTATTATTGCTTGGACAAACTACTGCACATTTCTTTGTGAAATTGAAATATAACACTATAATAATATGCTAATATAGCACTTGTAAATTATTGCTCTTTTGTTGGTTTTGATTGCTTCTATTGTCCTCATTTGTTAGTCGCTTTGGATAAAAGCGTTTGCTAAATAACAAAATGTAAATATAATGTAAATGTAAATAACTAAACTAAATTGACATTTTAAAACAAGCCCCAAATCAAATAAATAAGTAACACAAATAAAATAAATCTCTTCATATAAACAAACTAAGGCTTTGTCTGTGCTCTTAACATTTAAAATTAGAGGCAACCACTGCATTTTAATCATGATCCAAACAAAGATGCTGCATACATGCAACACGAGCAGTTTTTAATCTAAATTGGATTGTATAATTTCGAAATTTGAAGCAAAAACAGAATGGTTTGACTTCAGTTTTGTGAAACTATGCATAAAAA